CAGAGTCAAGCGAGACTTTGATTTTCAGTGGTTCGATCGTGGTATCGGATTTCACTAGGATGCTAGGACTGGCATCCAGTAACTACTATCCATTTCAAAATATAAAGAACACGGATGTTTTTTGAATTACATTTTCTGACCACGATTACAGTCGACACACTATTGCTGAATGATCTTAATCTAGACGATGTTTCACTTCCTATTGTTTTAGAAGTAGTTGTATTTTACGTTAAACAAACTAACACATTTGATGATTAGCTAGTACAACGTTAATAAGTTTTAATAAGATTAAAATTAGTCCACGCCACGTTTCTCCTTCTAGTCTATGTTATTTTCGCTTTCTCGACGTTTTTAACTTTTTTTATATATTACGGCACTGTTCATCCTCCACCTGTTACACTTTATCACTTAATGTAGCCTATATTATACATGGCCTAAAATGGTTTGCCGCTGGCCTTATTATTTACACAATAAAGATATAGATCAGCTGTCTACATGTCTGAATTTCTGAATTCCTAACTATATAAATGTTTCAAACCTGAATTTCTGAACTCCAAGCTTTACAAATGTCTAAATTTCCACTCTAAATCTCGAAATTCTTAAATTTTGTCTCCTCACTTCTGTCAAAAAGAATGGGTTCGAAATGCCTAACCTCTAAATTCCTATCTTTCTAAATGTCTGAATTTCGGAACTACTGACTTTATAAATGTCGACATTTCCAAAGTTCTGAATCCCTAACTTTCTAAATGTGTAAATTTCCAACATCCTAACCTTCTAAATCTCTGACTTCGTTGCTGCCTACATGTAGATACTTACATATAGATTAGAATGACTATCTACAGCAATATTGTATGGATTATATAACTGATTTTGTTGAGAATCTCGTCCGTGACCACCAGCTATTGTTACACCATTCGATTTCCATTTAGCTTTTGGACGGATTGATGTTAGAAAATATAAATTTGTTTTGATTCTAACTTGCTTTTTTGTTTTAAAAATCGAATCACTTACACGTTGTTGTTGGTAATGCTGGACATACTTGTGGATTAGCTAAAGCAATTGGATAATAAATTGGTTGATTACTACTTCGACTATGCCTAATACGTATTGGATGTCATCCAAACATGCTAACTTATCTGATGGACATGGTTTTAATATTAAACAGTTCATTCTTGTACCAAATTACTCTACCAGATGCTGCTAATGGAGATAATTGTTGATCGACAACCAATATTGTATTCATCATGGTATTAATCACATATTTATATTTGTCATATATACAGGGTGGCCCAAAAGTGGCTTTAGTAGACACACATTATTCTGTACATTTTTATTTTTATTGAGCACACTTTAATACCAAAATATTTCCCGTTGAATTCTCTACAAAAAATGTATGGATTGTTTTATCGCAAAATACGAAGGTGCAAAATGCCATAAGAAATTGTCAGAAGTACCAAAATGTAGAAAAAATAAACGTAGTTAACTTTTTTTTGTTTAGTTAAGGCATTCGGTATACCGATACCGGTGCAAACCTAACCAGCAGCAGAAAACAACTGAGTTTTTCCTTTTCAAACAAAGACATACTGAAATACGCTCGATACGAAAATTACCTCGGATGAACAGTGACAGTTGTGTTTCAAACTGGTAAGTGCCAGATCTGCAAACCATGTGGTGCATGTTGTTCCGAAATCTAGTGAAATCCTATATTCAGTGAAATATCCCATTTTTGTCTATTTTCGTGTAAAATTGGAAAATTCATAGCTCACCCATGAAATAATTTTGATAACCTAACGCAGGTTAGCATGCGTTAAAAAAAAAGTTTTCGAGAAGATTGCGTTTGAACGGGTTAAATTTTCAAATATGACGCGTGCTAACGTTTCTTCGGAGCGGTAACGAGACAGATCCGGTTAAATATGGTTCAAAGAAATTTTACGAGTTTCCACGCATTCAAGTTTTCCAAAAATCGATAATATACGGTGCAAACGCGTTTAAAAATAAAGAATTCTTGTACAATCCTGATCAAAAGTTTATCTTAACTCGTTTAAATGGGTTAGAATAGATTTTGTCCCGTTAAAACTCGTTCAACTATAAGTCACTCAATGCATACGCGTTCCAGTGCGTTAGAATGGTAATTTTCCAGTCACCCATTTGTTTTGCATGACGAATTCATATATTAATAGCATGTCTTTCCCTACGAGATATACGATACATTCACTTAGAAAATTTTCTAAGTTTTCCTCTTACTATATATATGTGTAAGAGACTAGTCTGCCATAATGATGCTGATGTATTATAAACAATATCCGATCGAAACATCATCAGATTCGTCATTTGCCTGTGATTTATCATTGAGAAATGCGAGATTTAAAACGAATGTTCAATCATTATCTGTACCACATTCGCATGCTGAACAAGAAATGTTTGATTTAATGAGTAATCAAGAATTTATTTTGAATGTTGACTTTGTCAACACATTAATTAATTGTGATGCTATATCGATTCAAATGCAATTGGGTAAAACATGGTCAACTATCCGTTGGTTAACCTATCAAAATAAGAATTCCATTCTATCTCTTTCGATTCCACTTCCTTATCAACATATTTCTGTTCAAAGTTTATTAGAAGATATAAGAACAATTGGAGCTTTGCGTATTGGTCTTGCTGGTGATGGACAGGAAAGTGAAAATTTTACATTGAGAGAATTTAATTTCCATCAATCATTTTCTAAAAATGGACAAATCTTAGCACAAACTTTACCTATTGCTTTGTCGATAACAAAAGTCATCAATGAAACCGAACCATTGGCCGATGAAGAGTCTGATTTTGGTGGAATTTTTATTCCTACTTTTGCTGTTGATTTAAACAGTTGATTTCTACCAGCCAATCAGTATATTCGTAATACATTAGCGTCAACAACATTATCAATTGTTTTAATTGAAACTCCATATTATATAAAAAAAACTTGCAACGACCGATCGTTACACGAACAGAAATCATCTTTAATAATCTATTATTTACCCTCGTCTGTTTAGAAATTTTTGGTCTTATATTCGTATTATTCAAACTTACTCTCAAGCCATTATATGATTTATTTCGTCGAAAAATATCTAGATGTAACAGTAAGAAGAGCATAGATGGAATGCAAACGAATGGTGATATCAAATCAAATGTTCAACTACCTACTATGGATGATCACATCGAGGATGTCCTGACCTGCTCTTTCTGAACATAAGAGAGAGAGAGAGAGTATGTTTTTCTCTGGTGCGAACGTGGCATATTCAGATCCATATTCTCAAGAAAGCTGAGGAGTTTTTCATGCTATAACCAGAGGCAAAATCGATATGAACATGTTATCAAATCATTTTATCCACGTATAAAACTATGTAACCACTTCAAACATGATGCAATCGACTTTTTCGCAAATAACAGTTAGTTAAAAATTATTTTGCGTTTTTCTCAAAACCAGTCTTTTCGACACAGAGCCGCATTGTGACACGGACAACCCCCCTTGAATTTTGTCTAATCGAGCTGAAATTTTCACCAGAGATAGCTTGGACTATTCTTCATAGTTAGCTTCAGCCGTTTTCATTTTCAATCTCACCATTCGGATTTATAGGATTTTTTATGCGAAAACTTAGGATCTCTGGAAAACCTTTTCGTATTTTGTTCAAAGAAGAAAAAGAAAGCTAGATTTTTCAAAACGTTGAAAACTAGCTCTCAGATATACCCATAGCTAACTCCAGTAAGATTCTCAGCCCAATCGGACGACTTTTACTCACCGCGACCCGTGTCAAGATAAAGACCTCTAGAAAACCAGTTTTTCAATTTAAAAACAATGAAGATGGTCTTCGAAAACATTTTCCTCGAACACTTTTCCCGTCATTTTTGATGTTCTATCTGTGGTAAAAATTTCACTCGAATCGGACTTGTTTCCCCCGAGATCTCAAAATCATGGAAAAAGAGGGGGATATCCTTGAATAAGTTTTCAAAAGAACCGAGCATAATCATCATATTCAACCATTCATCCAAGCTAGTCTGAACTTGATTAGATAAAAGTCAGTCGACACTACCATCAACATGATCCACAAGTTGATCATTCTTCGCCTGGACGTGCTCCAGCCATAAAATTACCGACACTGCTAATGAGAACGCAGTTTGAGTCTCGAACCTGACCCGACGCAACAACACAAAGCCCGCCCCACAGCCACTCCCACCAGTCTGCTTGCGGCACCGATAAATCATTCGAACAAAAACATCTAGATCACATTGTCGAACTAAATCGATCATGTTAGCTGTCCTCACGCCACCCTTCTTAAATCATAGGAAACAAAAAAGAAAAATGTATCCTTACTCGATTCTCCTCTATAGACCTCCAGCACGTCTCCAGAGAATAATCAAACTAATCCCCTAGTAATATATCATTCTATACTTTCGCTGAAAAGCCTTACACTTCTATGATTTCCTTTGGATGGAATCTATAGCATCAGAAGAGGTGTCGAAAGAGAGAAATTAAACTTTTTATCAAGATCTTAACCATTCATTTACTGCCTAATAGTTCTTTCTTGTGATAATTTTAGCTACCGTGCACTACGCACGGGTTCTGACTAGTAAAAATTAAACAGGAGAAATATATGAGTACTTTTATATACCAAGCTCGCGCATAAATATGGACGAAAAAGTGAAAAATAGTTTATTTAATGACAAGTTATTTCATTAATGATTTTATAGTAGCTATGGCCATTTGTTGTGGGCAAACGTTTCTGAAAATGTTTTGCTCATGATACTTTGTTTGAGTATTTCGATAGTAGAAGATGGATTTGATCTCATCTCGTTTACAAATGACTTTGAAGTACATATTACACCAAGTCCTTCAATAAGATTCGACAATGTTTCGAGAGTTTCCTTCTGTGTACCACTCATATATTGGTAATAATGTAATTCTATACATGCAGCACGTCCCATGGTACCACCACTCCGAGGTGGAATGTTGCTAACTGATAATGAAGAAAGTCGGCGTACTTCGTCCAATTCTAATATTTTCCCGTCGACATCAGCTAAGATATGACGAAAGAAATCAAATGCTAACTTCACATTTTGTTCTGAATGAAAGCAACCGACAGTCGTTAAAATAGAATAGACCATACAACCGCCACAACTTTTGGCAAATGAATAAGCAATGGCTTCGCCTGTGGCTCCCTTTGACGAAGCCAAAGTTAACAATAAAGAGAGCCAGGTTGAGACTACTTCGGGTTTACATCGATCGCGACCACTTTCACCAAACATATGAACCATAGCATCCCAACCAATATTCAATTTTGGCAGAATGGTAGCAGCATCGACTTCTTCACTTTTCAATGCTTCGATTAAACCTTTCATTTTTGTGATCACATGCTTATCGGATAACCTCCAATCATCCCGATTCAATCCGTATTTTGACGTGTTGATCGAAGATTGAATTTCAGCCATTTGAATGCAAATATTTCGCTTGTTCCTAAATCAATCGACTTTATATAACATTCTCGCTTAGCTTTCATCTTGTATAAGTCATTCTCGACGTTCTCTATTGATTTAAAAGATAATGCCTATTTTGTGGGGGTGTAGATTGGTAGAACGATTATTTTCACTCTCATCGTCAGCTTTTCCCCCACATTTACCTTTAGTCATACATGGTAAGTATCACACTTATCTTCATATCACAAAGGACATTACAATATTTGACTATAATAATCGATTTTGTCAATATTTACATTACACACACCTTGCTATACATTCTGGTAAACGTGTTTTTTCCCATAAAGCTTTAAGTCCACAATCCAATTATCTTTTGGATTGTGGACTTAAAGAATGTTATATAAAGTCGATTGATTTAGGAACAAGCGAAATATTTGCATTCAAATGCAAATGCGTAGTGCACGGTAGCTAAAATTATCACAAGAAAGAACTACTAGGCAGTAAATGAATGGTTAAGATCTTGATAAAAGGTTTAATTTCTCTCGTTCGACACCTCTTCTGATGCTATCTATGAAACAGCAAAAACAAATTTTGTGTGGACAACGATTTGATGGACTTGTTGATTCTATTCGTTCACAAATAACAAAATCATTTACAAATTTTGTTTCATATGTATTGAAAAATGTCGTTAATGATTATGCATTAACTACTTTATCGAAAACATCAACAAATGATTTTGAATCAATGTTAAATTTAATCGATTGTCTATCATTTGAACCTTCAAATAATCGAGGAGATGATATGTATAATCAAAAACAAAATATTACCATACAAGCTATTACAGATTATTCCTATATACCACTAACACCATTATTTCACTTGTTCAATCAACGTATAGAAACATATGCTAATGAATTGAAAATGAATTATTTATCTCGACATACTCAATCTACAGGTAAAGAATTAAAGGCACCATTCTCTTGTTCTTCAGGTTTCTAAAGAACGACTTATCATAGCAACGTGATTTATCAGCAAAAATAGATCATAATGAGTTAGAAAAAAAGTTCTGCTACTACAACTATCCTTTCCATAGTTTGGGAAAATTGAGTAGTTTTTGCTTCCTGTGGATAATGGTAAACTTGTCAGAAAAGAGCGCCATATTTGCAAGAGCTGGTTTATGCATCATTAGAGAGAAAATGACGAGAGGAATTGAATGTATATATTACTGTTAAGTTTAGAGTAAAATTTCCAAGAGAAAGTCGATTTTTTGCAACCAATCAGTATATCAAAACAAAGTGAAACATCTATAACTTGTGAGAAGGCAGAAACCATAATGCGAACAGATTTTTAAACTTTGCTTTTTTCTATTCAACTCAGCGTGACCAGTACTAGAAACGCTGCAGTTCTTACAATTAGCCCAGAAACTTTTTATATATATGGGAGGTTTCCCAAGAAACTGTCCCGAATTTTCTACAGACCGTCATAGGAGAAACGATCCCCGTCGGGATAAGATGTCAACCACGAAGAGTTATCCTATAACGCTGGAATTTTTACGCAAAAAACCGACTGTTTTAACCGATGTTTTGTCAAATACTTGTGTGATGAGAACGAACTGGTGTTGTTGATAACTAGAAAAACAGGTCTGATAGTAGGTCTGTACCAATGAGGTAAAAGTTTTATATTTCTCCTCTATATAGTTGGAAAAACCAATATAAAACGTTAAAAATTTGAAAACAAAACTGTCAACGTACAAGGAAAACTTCAATCTTCATTTTGAAGAGGACATTTAATATAGAGAAATGTGAAACTCAAATTTTGAAAAAGTTTCTATCTTTCAAGATTGAAAAGTAACAGGAGAAATGCCATTAAATGATCAAAAACTATTTTCAATGATTATTGTTTTAGATAAGAATGAAGAAATAGATAGCAATGGTGGTAGAAAAGCAATAACAACAGCCGACAACGATAATAACTTTAGTGATAACGCTTACACAACCGATACATTTCGTAATGAACTCTATCGCAAAATTATTTTTAGTGATGAAATATTAAAAACAATAATTGAGGAAGGTAGTACTGATTTAATTGATCTCTATAGACAAGATTTAGTACGTACATTTTGTACAATAACAGAAAAAAGTAAGGATGATCTTGAAAAATGCAGTGAAACAATCAAATATGTATCAAAATGGTTACAATTATTTGATGAAAGAGATCAAATTGAATTTGAGACAATTAAAAATAAACGAAATGAAGATATTTGGTTACTATGTCATGTATACACCTCATTTATTTATGAGAGAAATGATCTATTATCATTATATATTGCTTGTCGAACACTCGATCGATTATGCTTAGAACCAAAAAATATTTATAATAATAATAATCATCATCGAACAACATTGGATCGATCTGAATTTCGAGAACAAATATTTATAGAAATGTTTAATGCATTATGGAAAAATTTATGTGATATATGTTCATCTCAAATAATCAATTATACAGCATGGATTCAAATTTATTCATTTGTATCTCGTTATTATCCATCAGAAAAAATTTGTGATCAGTCACAATTAAGATATATGAGATCTAAACTTGAATTAATGCAAATAGCTTATATTCTATTTCTAAATGGAACAATACCAACATCAAATGAACTGATTCAAATTTTAATGAATGAAAACTATTTTCCATCAAACAGTTATTATTATTCAATAAATCAATTATTAGATTTAATTAATAATTATTTTAATATTAAAAACTGTTCAGCTGAAGTAAAGAATACATTTATGACTGATATTCAACAATGGATTATTGTCATATTAAAAAATAATAAGCAAAAAGATGATATTCAATGTCAAATTGAAAATTTATTTAAATATTTAATTTATTCAGATCGTCAAATACGTTCATCAGTTAAACAATGCTTCTTTAATCAATTATGTTATCTTATTATCGAATTAAGAGACGAAAAACTTTAAAAGACTTTATATATGACTGAAGTTTTAAATACACTCACTTGCAATATTGTTAAATGTCTTCCAGACCATGTGAAAGTTATAGAAAATTATAATTTACCATATCATCCATTTCTAACTGAAAATTATGAACGACAAGATGATAATGCAACAATAATAATGAATTTATATTTTTTCTATATTAAGGATATTTTAAATGACAAAACAATGACATGTGCTTTTATACACAAAATTCATGAATTCAAAGTCAATATTTTGCCAAACAGTATAAAACAAATTAAAATTCTACAAGATCTTCATCAATTAATAAAAAATTATTTAGTTATTTATTGTTCAGCTCTATTTCTATGTGATGATAATTATGGTGATAATACTGAACAATGGCGTCGTTTATTAAAAAATATTTTAACAAATTATGCTCCATTACAAACTGAACAACATGAACATTTATTTAATAATGAATTACAATTATTTTTATCAACAATAATAATTCGACAAAATTAGAATTATTTATTTCCTTTACTTCGATCTGATTTTCTTCAAAATATTGATTCTCATTGGGCAACCATAACATTACAATTGTTAGAAACACAAACAAATTTTCAAAAGAAAAGTATACAATTATACGATCAAATACAATTTACTTTACCATCAAATATAACAGAAAATATTTTATTTCCAAAATTACAAAAATTTTACACATATTTTAGTGTTGTATTTGATGAATGTGTAACAAATAGATTCGAAATGAATTATTGGCTACCATTAATCAATTGGATTAATGAACAACAAAATGTAGAAGAAAATAGATTAGATTTAAATGAAATAAAATCGATGTTAATATTAAAAATTTATTATGATTATTATTGTCAAGGAGAAAATAATTTAATGTTATTACATGAATTATTGGAAACATTACAAATGAACATGGAATTTAGTCCAGAAGAAATACAAGTATTTCGTGTTTTATTAGAGCCAGTCGAAAATATGATTGGTTATAATGACGAAAAACAAAATTATTTGAATGAAATATTTAAAATTGATTCTACAGCAGAAGATGAATTATCTATTAGACATTCATTGGTTAATTTAATCAGTATGATAATATTGAGTGGTAAAGAAACTTTTCTTTGGATATTTATATTTCAACCATTATTATTACAAGATACGTATGGTTTTGGTTCAACAACAGACACTGTTATTAGAATGGATGGTATCCATTATGATTGTGGTTGTATTTTACGTGAAACGGGTGATTTAATGCAATATTCTAATAGAGTAATACGACCAAATGCTATGAATATACCATCAATTTATGTTGCTTATTAAAACATAGGAATAGAATACGTAAATAGTTCCAAATGTTTAGACTTAGAATTCGGAACGAAGTTAGGATGCGGAAAACATATAAAAAGTCGATTAAAGATGGTCCAAAACTCATATTGCGCTCTGAAAAAAAAATTTTCAAAAATTCCCAAAAACGAAATAAAAGTAAGACGTTAACTTTTTTCTGCCTTCTCCGTTCCCCACTTTATCTGACTATTTTCTACGTGGTTTTATTATACGGATAAATAGAGAGCTAACAAAGAAAATTAGGTACTTTTGCCGGGCAGCACCAAATTAGGTAAAAATTGGGCGCTATGTGCAAAGTTTTTCGGTGAATCCGATACCCAAGCAGACAAACATTTGGAAAAACACGTTTAAACGCTCAAACGGGAACCGCGACTGTGAGCCATTAACGCTCATTAGAAAAACGCCAGAAACGCGTTTTTTTCGTTTAATTTTCACTTTCAGAGCGTGAAAACGGTGAAAAATTCAAAAAATGAGCGTTAAAACGCATTGTTTTTAGATTCTAGAATAAAAGCGCTTTTGAACGCTAAATACTGGAGTTTTTCGCCGCTTTGACGCTCTGCAAGCGAAAATTAAACGGAAAAAACGCCTTTCTTGCGTTTTTCTAATGAGCGCTAATGGGTCATAATCGCGGTTCCCGTTTGAGCGTTTAAACGCGTTTTTCCAAATGTTTGTCTGCTTGGGCAGCGGGTTCCTTATAATTATTATTATTCAAACTTTGAAGTACGAGGAAAATCGCCTTTAAAAGCTGTTTTTTCCTAGCATTAAATGTTTTCTAATCGCAATGCGAACCACTTCACCGTATAGAACTTGAAAAGGCGCGTCGAATGCAGATTTTGTTGTCTTGTGTTGATATGACTTAATGGGAAAAAAATGGTTTACAAAAAAGGCCTGCTTTTGGGAAAAAACGAGCTTTTTATCTATTTTCCTGAGAACGTGGTTAACATTTTGGATCTTTTTGTCCGTTGGTGACTTTATAGCTCTGCACATATAGAAGCTAATCTGACGGTACCAGCTCATGAAAGCGTTTCAATAAAAAAATGGTGAAAATGTCCACAAAACGACTGTTCTGCTGAGAAAAGAGATTTCCACAGGTCTAGAAGGCCACCATGCCGTTGTTTTAAAATTTTTTAAACATGATATTCGTCGTCAGGAGGCCGAGTTGAACTAGCCCTGTTACTCTCGAATAAAGAATCACCCTTCTCCTAGGAAGAAATTCATATCAAAATCTGATGATTTTTTTCTAGAGAAGCGGTATTTGAGATTTTTACATATTCGAAATCAGCGTGATGAGTTACGTTGTACGGCGCAAAGATCTCGTCGGGGTACACACAAAAATGGGGTCTTAGGAGTCCCACTTAGAATACCACTGTATTCAACGGTATAGTTCATCGTTCAACTTCAAACATGCCGCATTTTATTCGTTCTGCTGGTAGTGTAATTTTTCTTTCTGTTTGATTTTTTTTCCTTCTATACGCATATATGCAGACAAATATAGAAAGGAATGAAGTGAAAACTGAAAAAATTATATCTTTTCATCGAAATGTTCACTGCAATCACTATGAAATTACTCTATATTCTGTCAACTTGACAGATTAAAAAGTTAACAAATTTGAATGTACCCCTCTCCGTTTTCTACGTCAGTTTGAAGTACACAGGTTGTACTCTATGCCGAACTATTTTTCAGAAAAGGGTACAGTCTACTTTTTGAGATATAGAGCTGTCAATATCGCTGTCAATGCGCCTTCTGTGCGCATATAGAAATAAATAGATATAAAGCAAGAAACGACGAAAAGAACAACTTTTATGTTTTTATACAGACGAAAAATCGCACTCGCTATACAGCGCTGTCAATATTGGAGGTGAACATAAACAAAAATGTACTTTTATATATTAGGAGGTAAAAAACCAGTTACTTCCTTCATATTCAGGGATTAGATCAACTCTTTTTGACCACCATGGCATTCCGACTTTCTCTTCGGGTCATGGTAGTCTTATAAGATGCTTGCGAATGTATGTTCAACGTTTCTTGGTTAACTGCGCAGAGCAGTAACTAGTGAACGAGAAATAAATTTAACGAAAAAAAATCACGTTGAATTCTGTATCGTTTCTGCTTTAAGAGGTATGTAAAAGTCATATAATCTGAGCTAATTAGAGACATTTTGAAACAGATTATGTATTGTTACAGAAAGTAAGCATAAGTTTCACTAAGCTGATTGTTCTGCTTGTAATGTCTTTTTTCGTTCTGCTTGATGTTTTTCCGTTTTATACGCATATATACAGACAAATATAGAACGGAATAAAATGAATACTGAAAAAATTCGTCTTCTCATCGAAACCTTCACTGCACTCGTATAAAATAAGTGTATATTCTGACAACTTCTAATATTAATAGGTTAACAAACTTGGAAGGAACCTTCTCCGTTTTCTACGTCAGTTTGAAGTACACAGGTTGTACTCTATGCCGAGCTATTTTTTAGAAAAGGGTACAGTCTACTTTCTGAGATATAGAGCCATCAATATCTGTTAGGTTATTCCTTTCAGAATCGTTTTGCATCCAATGGTTAATAGCCAAAGAAGAATGTAACTGCTACACATACTTTATTTCAGCAAATTAACAACTATATATAGTATATCTCAGCTACAGGA